ATTGTAAAAAAAAGGTCGAATCGAGCAGGTGCATTTTTGTGCTTGCCATCAGATAGGCCATAATACGGTTGATAAGATTGATTCATACAAACGGTTCATGAAACGAGTTGATAAAACGCACTACTGAAGAGAAGGCTTACGATTGTGACACAAGTATTAAAATAACAAAGTTTGCTATGTAGGAACTTCTTCTATGTGCTGCTCCTGAAAGTTTCTTGCTCACGACCCATTCTGCTTGATGATTTTTACCAAATAAAAAGAAATATGCAAAAAAGTTTTTCGATAGTCAGAAATGGATAAAAAACACATTTTGCCGAAGTATTTTTAAGCAAGATGAAGATAGCAAATCTGTGGCTTTGAGAACCCTCGCCCTCAGACGTTGCATGAGAAATAGTTCAAAGCGCTCATGATTTTAAGGGAACAGATCTTGACCGCTAATCCAAGGTGCAATTTTTTGGCAGACACTTTAAGGTTCAGAGCCAAATACCAACGAAGCAATTACCCTCCTCAGTCAGATTCAAAAGTGTTTTAGATCATCGAAAAACCAGAGACTTCTGAGAGTTCTGTAATATATTTATTCGGATTATGGGTCATTATTGAGTTATTCAAGCCATTTACGGTTAATTCTGTTTATTATACTGGTAAAACATGCATCATCACATAACCATCAAACAAGTTTAGCCGAAAAAAAAAACTACTTTTTGAAGGACTTATGTCAAAATTCTTTAGTTGTTCAGGAATCAAGCTTTCGTCGGCCGAAATGGGTAAAAAGAACCCGCAATTCTTCCTCGTTTTCAGACAATCAAAACTAACTCAGACAAATCATCTCAGCACTTAGTTGGTTTTTTTTGCAAAGCTGGCCTAGCTTCCGGTCCGTCCGGAGCCGCAATTATTGCAGGCAACTTGGTCACTCAACAAGGACACCATCTGTTCAGAATTGTGTACATTGAATAACTGAATCTTGATTATAAGTATTCGTCTGTACTAAGGAGATTTAATTAAGGATAGAATGGGTAAAATTGCAAAACAAAACGAAAATCGAATCGAGCAGGTGCGTTTTTGTGCTTGCTATCAAATAGGTCATAGAAACGGTTGATAAGAATGGTTCAAACAAACTGTACAAAAAACTAGTTCAAAAAAAGAAACATTAGGGGAGAAGGCTTACGATAGTGAGATAAATATCAAATCAACAAAGTTCGCTCCGTAAAAACTGCTTCTATGTGCTGCTCCTGAACGTTTCCTGCTGACGACACAATCTTATTGATGCTATTCGCCAATTATAAAGAAATGGGCAAAAGAAGTTTTTAGATAGTCAGAATTCGATAAAAACAACTGTTGACGAATTTTATTTGAAATAAGGATCATGATTGATGGGGTAATTTTCAAAAAACTAGAAAATTAAGAGAGCAATTAATAGGTTAATAGAGCAAATTTTGCAAAAAAAAAATCAGCACCCATTCAGCCGTTTGCTAACTTTTTTGAAAATTAGTCAGCAAACTTTTCACTGAGCAAAAAATGTTTGGAGACTACTGCCATTTTTGCTAATGATTTTTAGGCAATATTGTAACATTAACTTACCTTGAAAAACTAATTTTGTGCGTAAAATTTTTCTCAAATAGGTCAAATGGTTCTTGGCGAACTACTGTCTGTTCGAAAGTTTTCAGACGGAAAAATTGTTTTTCAAGATGATAAGAAGCAGTTAACAAGGTATAATTTTTTTGGACTAAAACTCTGTGAGAAAAAAAAAAAATTGCATGCTGCAACTTTCTGAGTTAGGTTAATTGTTCTTATCAATTAAATCCTGTCATGCGAACTTTTTGCTACTCTTTGTAAGTTTTGTGACTCTTTGTAGTTCGAGTAGGAAAAAAAAGTAAATGAAACGAGAAATGTGACATGAAAATCTCGAAATGAAAAACTTGCAAGATAATTTTAGGATGTTTTTCAAATAATCTTGTGAGATATCTTGGAATAAGTTTTTCAGAAGTAATCAGAAGTTTTTTGCTACCTCTAATAAATATTTTTGTACAAAAAATGACGAAAAATAAAAAAAAATTAGCATATTCAACGGTTTGTGCGAAAAACGTTTTTTACAAAACCATCCGTGAAATTTCAACGTGGCTAAGAGAATGCTAATCTTGTAAGATTCTTGCAATATTTGCATTAGTCGGCAAGAATCTTGCAAGAATTGCATTCCAAGAACACTAGAGAGTTTCAGAAGCATTGCATAAAAAAGCTACTTTTTCCAAGATAATTTATGACTCAAGATTGTCTGCAATATCAATATGGCACCCAAAGTTAAAAAAATTTCCAATTTTGATTAACTCTGGCTTACCAATTTTACATTTTTTGTAAATTAAAAACAATATAGTGGCTGATCTGAGCAGTAGAATGGCGTTGTGACATTTAACTGCATGCAATAACTTCACAAGCAAACGTAAATAGCGTTGAAGTTATAGTTTTAACGTTTTAGCTTTTAACGGACAACGTCTTAATTTGTTGAAATAATTCTGTCCTTCAATCTGAAACTCATTAAAAATAGTTTGAAGTTTTGCGTTTGACTTTTTGCCGGCGTTTTATACGCTTTTTCTTTTGGACATGGCTTTGAATGAAAACTGTTTTGAAGCTAAGAACTTGAAGTTATTTAAAAAACAGCACTGAATTTCTTTTGGTTTGCTCAGTAATAGTTTTCACACAATTTCAAAAATTCGTTTGTAACTTCAACGTAATTTCACTGACTCAAGGTCAGAATTTTTTCAGAAACTGAGACGTTGTCCGATAAATTTGTTAAACGCTATAGAGAGTTGCAAAAGTTGGAACGGACAGAATTAATTAAGAAAATCAGATGATCTATAGAGAGTTGCAAAAAGTTCGGACAGACAGAATTAATTGAAAAGAGCAACTCCGTCTAGACATCAACGGAAATTGAAATTGAAATAAACATAACGTCGAAAGATCATAAAGCATATAAGTTTCGCTCAGAACTTGTAGCCACGGCGGGCAATTGCATCCGAAGCGTCAATTAGTAGGCCTTGAAACAGGAAAAACATTGCTCAGGATGGCTGATGTTTTTCTGCGATTATTTTCCAAAATTTGAATAATTTGATCATCTTTACTTCCGTTTTTTTGGGGGGTGGGGGTGGTGTTTAATTGTTGTTTTTTTTGTTGTTAGAAATAACTCTAGATTTCAATTTTTTAACTAATTTTAAGAACTGTTTCATAGTAAAATCTGGAAGTTCATTGCAGTATTTAAAAAATAGGCTAGGATAATCATAGGATAATCGACGATCATGCATTTTGATTTTGGTCTGATAAAACATTCAATGTTGTACGGCTTCAGATTTTGCATTAAAAAAACGTCGAAAAGAATTGCTTGCTCATTTTCATTAAATCTGTCTGTCCGAACTTTTCGCTACTAATTATAGAGAGTTGCAAAAAGTTCGGACAGACAGAATTAATTAAAAAGAGCAACTGTCTAGACATCAACGGAATTTAAAACTGAAATAAACATAACGTAGCAAGTTCATAAAGCAGAGTTACGGAATCTACTTAACAACCCCCTTTTCAAGAAAGGGGAGGAGATCGTTAAAAAGATTACTTGCAGCGAACTTTCGACCAATCAGAACGCAGCAAAATCCGAATTTACATACAATGATTTTGTGCGATATTACTGTTTTTATTTACAGATTGTTTAGTAGTTACAATAGAGGGAGGGGGATTGTTGAGTAGATCCGAGTTTCGCTCAAAACCTTACCACGGAGGGCAATTGCATCCGAAGCGTCGAAATGTTTTATAGTAAAATCTGGATGTTCATAGCAGTATTTGAAAAGTAGGCTAGCATAATCATCGGATAATCGACGATCTCGCATTTTGAATTTGGTCTGACAAAAAATTCAAGGTTGTTCGGCTGCAGATTTTGCATGCAAAAAAGCGTCGAAACGCACTGATTGCTCATTTTAAGTAAATCTGTCTGTCCGAACTTTTTGCTACTAATTATATTTGAGAAAATTTTTACACGCAAAAACTTGTTTTTCAGACAGAAAATTTGATTCAAGGTCACGCAAGAACTCAAATTTGTTTACAAAAAATGATCAAAATTGGCAGATTGGTCTTTGTATTTATTTCTGTCTGCTACAACTTTGTACAGCTATTTATACCATCCAAGCAGGGTTCATTTGATTTTGGTGAGTTTATACTTACCGCGCTAGTAAATTCTTCTCTATTCAAGTTCTAAAATAAATAAGCCGGGTGGAACTTACTTTCTTAGCATTAAAAAGCCTGTGTCTGTCAGCACCTTTTGCAATTTATTTTCCAAATATCGCAGAAGGTAGGTAGAGAACGCTTTGTTTCAGCTGTAAGTTTTTCTATTGACAAAATTTGATCAATATAAGCAGTTCGAACAATATTTGTTAACACTTTTCGGAAACATTTGAAACTCAGATTGAATTCCAATTTCGATCATTTTTCGCAGCTAAAAAACTATTTGGCTATTCAAAGCTTGCTTATTGAGACTAAAATTATGTCACGCCGAAAATGAAGATGTTCATCAACTGAAGTCCGTGGTGACATCTCCCAAGCACTGAGCAGGACCGGGGCAACATAAAAAAATTAACAGTTTATCTGAATCTTTTTGGAGCTTTTTGCAATTCAAAAATTCAGTGCTTTGGACAACAAATTTTGAAACAGAAGGTTATTGAAAGATTCAGACTTGAATGAGAAATACTCATGATCAGAGATCTTCATGTCATCCATTGTTCTTCATTTTTGGGGCTTTCCTATGCCCTCAAATCCGATGCGAGAAGATTAAAACTCCTCGGTTTAGATACAAATGACGCAAAAACATAGAATAGATAGTTTCTCTTTAACAAACAGAAGTTATTTGACTAGCCGAACAGACTTCCTATAGCCGTCTAATTGAATGCCGAGCGCAAACATAACCGTCGACCTCGTCAAACTGAGTTTGCATTGTGGTCGATAATTCAAACTGGCTCTGAATAGTTTGTAGACTTTTCTGGAGATTAAATGGAGAACTTTCAAATGCGACCGCATTTTGATATAAACTGCGTCCAACTATTTCTCTTTGAAAGGCTTTGAACAACTCTTATAAACAGCCATATGATTTTAAGTTGGTATAACTTGTCATAATTGAAATCTAACGTTACTTTTCTGCTCCAAAGCTCTAGCTCAAACTCAAAAATTGAAGTCCATTTTATAATTATCAACAGTTCATTTCTTCAGCAAACTTTTTGAAACTTAATTAACCATTTTCAAATCAATTTTTGCGAACGTTGTCTGAAGTAACAAATCTGGTCAAATGGTCCGTATAAAAGAAATTATCGTAATTTATACGCTGCTAAATTGCGTTTTTTTCGTACCCAACTTGGCGTACATTCAGATTGAAATTATAAACACTGATGGTCCCCCGGAAATACTAAATCAGGTTTATGATGGTGAATCCCTGGAATTGGTAGTGTCTCACCCATCAGAGCAGGCGACTATAGGAGTGGTAGAATGCACTCCAAAGCATGGCAATCTTCTCGTGGTGACGAAAACAGAGCAAGATGATCTTAGAGCCAGATTCAAAGTGAAAACTAAACGGATCGGTAAGTGTTCATATGAAAAATAAAATGTGCGAATTGCTTGAAGTATATAATTACTTTGAGATATTTGTCATCTGAAAAACTCTTTTAGTCCGAACTCCCAAAAAAAACTGGATCAATTTACAACAAAGTTTTTTTTGATGTAGGGTACATGGGTGGATCAAGATTTTCTTCGAAAAAGAGAATCTATTTTTCGACTTATTGAAATTTCGTCGATTTTTTTCTAATTTCACCAAAACAGTATAAAGACTATCCCGGTATAAAATCCTTACCTTGCCAAATTTTTGAGAAAATGTTTTAAAACGCTGTTTTTGACAAAAAACTGCCTTTATTGGTGCGCATATGAAATAAATGCATTTTTTCAAACTATCTTATTTTTTTTTTGCAGGCAATGAAGTCATCAGCTGCGTTGAAAATAAAACATATGACTCCAACGAGATGAGAACTTCTGAATACTCCACTGAACAGCAGCAGGAGATAGTGATTATTCTGGAACCCACCTGGCTCGACCCCATCTTCCCCTACTTGGGGGCGGCTGTGATAGTGTTGCTGAATGTGCTGTTTGGCACTGAGATTTCTCTCAAGGACATCCGTTTTATACTCATGAGACCCAAGCCTCTAATCGCAGCTGCATTGTGTCAGTTTGTGCTTCTACCTCCAGTAAGTGTCCCACCCACCTCTCCGCTCGACCGGAACGAAAACTCAATTTTTTGTTCCGACCATTGATTTTTTTCTTTTTGTTTTCCACGCAAAATTAGGTACCACAAATAAACTTCGGACTGGGCTGAGTGATTTAATATAATAAAGCCCTTTAGGTCATAATTCGAACCACATTAAAAAATTCTGAAAATTTTGATTATTCGTTTTAATTCGAGCAAATAAAGCAAGCGAGCAGGCTTACAACAGCTGAAACGCCTAATATATGCCTATTTTAAAACCTTAAAACTTAACTTTAAGCTCGTAAATCTAGTTTCGGAAATTTTTAGCTTCATTTTGGAAACCAAAAATTTCGAAAAAATCAAAAATACTGCAAAAGTTTTGAAAATAAGTTTTTTTTTTTAATTTTTTTGTTTTTCTAATCATTTTTCAACAAAATTTTTTTTTCCCAATTTTCCTATATTACTATGTCTGTCTAAAATGGCTAAATTATATTTTTACGTCCGCTCACACTATGCAGAAAAAACTACACTAATTTGGAAAAAAAAATTCTTAACCGTAGTTTTCTAAAGACTATGGTCACAACATTAGTCTATCCTTGTTTAATTATTATGCTCGATCGGAACAAAAACTTAATTTATAAAAACTTTTTCTTTTAAGAGTTTGCGGTTCCTTAAATTCCTATAAAAAAATTCAAATTCCCATGTGGTTTGCAAAGCTGTTTTCCCAGCAAGAACACCTCAAAAACTAGTTATTATTAATGTCTTCAAAAAAATTAGATCTGGCTACATTACGAGGCCAAACTGTGCACTGAATAGGCTCACAGTTTTGTGTCTGTATGATTCCGGATTCCATTGACAAACCTTTAAACTTGTTCCAAAATGTAAGTGAATTCCATTTACAAAACTTCCGTGGGTTCCGCGTACAAATACCTGTAACGTATTTTTTTCGGCACTTTTGTTGTGTCGGGGATTCCGTAACAAGCGAATATAGCTAGTTGTTCTGCATTTCGCAACTGTAAGTCGTTTTCACAAAATGTACATGGAATCCGCAAATGTAAGCGGAATCCGCAAATGTGAGCGGATTGCGCGAACTGTAGGTGGATTCAGAATTTTGTTTATTACTGAACTCGCATATGACAATTAAAAGCTAGAGCTGGAAATAAAACGTGAAAATACAACAAAAAATTGGGGTAGAAAGCAAATTTTTAATTTTGTTTATCTCGAACTAATGTTGCAAAAACATTTTGTGATACTTGCTCATGAGCGGGCTATTCTCATTTAAGTATGGGCTAGGAGTTGCACGTCTGCTCGGTTTTGAGGCTGACATTGCTCTGGGGGTGCTGATGGTGGCATGCGCGCCCGGAGGAGGCATCAGCAACACTGCCAGTTATCTGGTCGAGGGGGAGGTCCCTCTCTCTATCTCCATGTCCTTCTTCAGCACCGCCATTGCGGCCGGTATGAGATCACTATTTTTCTATTCAAAGACATTTTGTCGGTTAAGATATTGGGTTTAATGAACTTTCTTCCTTTTGAACTAAAGTTTGGTTGTTTAAAGTCTGAAGAACGGCTTGCCCCCCTCAAAAATATTTTTTCGAGTCAAAATTAATTTGTTGCGGAAAGATCCTTCAGGACAATTTTGAGTTAGATGTGTCTCATTTAGTAGCCAGAAAAAAGATATCTTTAGGTGGTCGAGAGTCAATATGAGGTCAATGAGGTCGAACCCGTGAGCGCAAAAAGGATCGGGTTATGGGGATTTCACAAAATATTGTCTTTTTCGTGAAATTTTTTTTCGACGACCATTTTTGTCAAAGTTTTGAATCAATAAATAACGTTTTTCCTGCCACCCTCAAAATTATCATATATTGACTTGTGGACAATGTATCCACCTGGCAACCAAAAGGTGGCGGTTCGAGGCCCACCATGTTCCATGGTTGTTACTTGCGATCAAAATATACACTTCGCAAACAGTGAAAGCTACAAAAACATCTCAAGAGAGAGCTCCATAAAACTAATACCAAGCATGTTTTCAGGCGTCTCTGGATAGGCGTTGGCCCTTGTTGCAAATCATGCCATTCTTCTTATTTCATTTAATTAGTCTTAAAGTATTTTAACTGGTTAATTTAGTTTTGTCCTTGTTATCTTCATTCTCTCCGACGGAGAGAATGATCTCTCACTTTTTAATGTTTTAAATTAGAGATTCATTCACTTTTTAAACATATCTTATTTGTAACTAAGTAGAATTATCCGTAACAAAGAAACATTTTATCATGGCGCAGTCAAACAGCAACGAATCAAACGTGAGAGGTATACCTTCATTTTGGCAAAACCACACAGTGGACCCGCCAATTCCTTGGGAAGAGTGGAGCTATTTATTCCAAATAGCAATAATCGCAAAGGAGAATATTGATATCGAAAATCTCTTGAATCCATCGGAACGATATCACCCACATCCCCCAACATTGGAAAATCCGCCGGAAAACGAATCCGACGATCAAAAAACATCTCGCATTGAGAGGAAAATTCGAGAACAAAAGAGGTTTGATGACGAAGAAATGACCTCAATAAAGTCAGAAACTAAGCAATTCAACGGCATGAGACTTGAAGAGGCGGACAAAAAACTCAGATCCATACTTTATTTAGCCCTCGGAAACGAAGGAAAGAAAATTTTCGGCCAAAAGCTTACGAGAGTTAGAGTTCTGCAAATTTCTTTTAAAGAATTTTGGGAAAATTTGTCCATAGCTTTTGTGAGAGAGACAAACATAACCTTCGAAAGACACAAGCTATTAAACAGAAAACAGAGGGACAGAGAATCATTAGAACAGTTCTGGGTGCACTTGCAGAAATGACAAAAAGATGTGACATTCCCACAGGGGAAGATGAGTGGATTCGAGATATTTTTATCAATAACATGAAGAACTCGGACATCCAACGGAAACTTCTCACGGAAACCTTACTCCCACTGGAAGCCTTAGATGCAGCCCTGATTGACGAAAAAGGAATAACAAACCACATCAAAATGACGAGTACTTTTAAAACCAACGGATACTCTTCCAACAAATCTTTTAATCATTTTAATGTAAAAAGAGAACCCACACTAAACATCGAAAGAACAAACACATGTATGAAATGCGGCGGAAATTTTACCAAAGGACACCTGGCGGTTTGGCCCGCTAAAGATACGACTTGTACGACTTGTAAATATCGAGGACATTTTACTAGACTCTGTAAATCGCGTCGTAAAAATGAAAATATTGTGGATAGTCAAATTGTAAATAATACAGATTGTAAACATCCTTCGGAACAACTGGATGTAAATATCGACCGCGCTAATAGAGAATGCTGTGGAGTAATCAACGCATGGTCGGAGTCCGGATAGAGCGATAACGATGATTACTCTGTATTAAACGTAACAACTATCTACGACGATCAAGGAAAGGAATTGAAGAAACTATTAAATATTGGCCTAGGAAATGAAAACCAAGTAATTCGCAATATACAAGTGGATTCAGCTAGCCCTGTAAATTTTCTTAAACAGAAAGTGTTACACGAGTTGAAGTTACGAGATCCTATGTGAAAATATATCCAGTGGATAAAGCGACAAAAGAACTTTATTGCGGATTTACGAACAATGCAATAAATATCACTGGAAAAGTAATCGTCCCAATTTTCTCAAATGGATGGTCTCACAAGGAATGCCACTTCTTCCTAACACAAGGTCACGAAGAAAACAACTTGGGAAACGACAATTTACCAAAAGTCGGAATCGAAGTTTCACAAAAACAATACACAACACTCACCAACAAGAGAACTTGTAGGTCTATCAATTCAATTACCTCACTTGACATAGATAATGAAATAGACATGGTTTCCAAAACTTTCAAACAATTTTTCCTTCGGATTGGAAAAATAAAAAATCAAACAAAAATAACACACTTTCACGAACCACTAAAGCCAATTCAACTAAAAGGCAGGCGGGTCCCACTACACTTACTGGATTCAGTAAAATCAGAATTGTGCAGACTCAAATCCGAAGGACATATCAAAAAATTAGAAAACTGCGACGAGGACAGATTTATTAGTCCGCTAGTTATCACTTGTAAAAAGGACAAATCGATAAAGCTAGCCCTAGATTAAAATTTAACAACAAACAAATATACAAGAACAAATACCAGATGCCCAATATACACGAATTATAGCGGCTCAAATTTTAAACAATTCCGCTGGAGAAGTATGGTTCACCAATCTAGACCTACAGAATGCATATAGTCAACTTTCGCTTGACAATTTTACTAGCAGCCAATGCAAATTTAGCCTAGTTGGCGGAGATATAACAGGCACTTATCAATTTTTAACCGGTTTTTACGGACTCGGCGATATACCAAACGCGTTTCAAAGAGTCATGGACTCAACTCTGGGAAATAATTTTTTTAAAATTGTTACCTTGACGACATATTAGTCGCTTCAAAGGAAGTTTTAATGACCACAAGAAAATTGTCTATAAAATTTTATCAACGTTAGATAGTTACAATTTCGCAGTTAAATGGTCGAAATGTAAATCTTTCCAAAAAGAAATCGAATGGCTTGGTTTTAAAATATAGAAATCCGGAATTGCCCCACTATTCGATAAAACCAAAGCAATTAAAGATATCCCAATTCCAAAAAATCTAAAGGAATTAAGATCATTCTTCGGGTCAATTAATCAGTACATTAAATTTGTACCAAATTTAGCATCTCTCGGAAGCCCGCTGAGACTTTTTTTAAACAAGAAGTCGATTTTCCATTGGAATGAAGATCACACAAAAGCATTAGATAAGATTAAATCAGAAATAGTCAGAAAACACCCACTTCGACGTCAAAAGGCCCACGAGAGTAAAAATGATGCTTCACATAACGGGTTAGGTGCATCCCTTGAACAACTCCATTAGAACGTTTGGAAAACAGTGTCATTCGCTTCAAGATTTTAAAATCCTCATGAATCCAAATATTCAAAAAACGAATTAGAGCTATTAGGAGTTGTATGGGCGATGGAACATTACAAAAACTATCTCTACGGATCTGAATTCGAAATTATTACCGACCACAAAGCTCTCCTTTCCGCTTTGTCACCTAATCACGGAAACAAAACGTATCATAGCCGATTGATAAGATGGGTAGATAGTCTTTTACCATTTATTTTTACTATAAAGCATTCAGCGGGAAAAGATATGGGTTTTAACGACTTAATTTCAAGAACTCCTTCGGGTAAAGCAATCCCCCCATCACATTACGACAAAGAATTCATAGTTGCAACTACCAAAAAATATATAACGCACCTTTGGATAACGAAAACTCATTACGTAATTCAATTAGTTCAATATCGGAAAATTCCCATTACACGAGATTGCGAAATCACATAATAATTACAGCATTGAATTTCGTCAATTCTTCCATTTCAATCTAAATTCAAAAACACTATAGAACAGAATTTTGTAACTCTAAATGCATTCCCTCGGATTTCTCAAACACCGACTCTACTAAAATCTTTCTATCAAATTCAGCCTTTATTTATTTTTTAATTCTTAATAGTAGCTGAATTATTAATCCTTCGGATCTTAAAGTTATAAATAGTGTAAACAAGTCAAATAACCAAATTGTAGTAAATCCCTCCATTTCCGGGATACAGGTCTCAATCGATTTCCAAATTTCTTTAGAGCACAAAAAGTTATTAACTAAATATCGCGAAAATCTCAAGTTACCGGAAAGACCTTTGGATTTAAATACCTTATTCAATGCAAAGTTGGTCGCATTACTAACGGAAGATGATGAGATGCTAAACCCAATTGTGAAGGCTTTACAGAAAAAAGTAAAAAGCATCAACGCTAATTCCCGTTATTTACACCAATTTTCGAAAGACCTTCATGAATCCGACGGACTATTATATATGGATGCAAAATTGGTTATTCCTTTTACACTTCAAAACACCGTTTTAAAAACCTTACACGAATCTCACCCTCGCCAATTTGGTATGAAATACCTGGCATAATATATTTAGTGGCCTCATATAAACTGACAAATTTATTTCCACGGGATTAACTGCACACAATGCACCCAAAATGGTAAGAATATAAAAAACATTATACCTACCAAACAAATTAGCGAACTTCCCGATTTATCTGAACCTAATGAGGAATCAAACCTTGATTTTGCCGGCCCATTAGATAACACCCGGGGAAACAATAAATACATCTTATTATGTATAGATCGTTTTTCAAAATTTCCATCAGCTAAAATTACATCTTCAACGTCATCAAACACGGCAATCGAATTCCTTCAAGATTAATTTTTTCTCCATGGGATTCCTAACTCTATTCGTGTTGACCACGCATCCTGTTTTACTAGTCAGGATTTTAAATTATTTTGTAATTCTTTTGATATCAAATTAATATTTTTTATAGTTGGGGACCATCGTTCCAATGGTCTTGTAGAAAAACTTGTTGAGACTGTAAAATATAAATTATTAGCAATGTCTTTAGAACAACAAAAACCTACAGTACAAACTGCTATCTCGAAAATCATTTGGAACTTACGATCTTCCTTTCAATCAAAAATAAAATGTTCACCGTTCGAAATACACTTTAGTAGAAAACCGAACACGAAGAAGAACCAGCCACCATTGGAGAAAGGTTACGATTCGGACCATCTTACAACTCCAAAACCTTCATCTTCCCGAGTGTCCCTAAACAGCCCGTTTAAAGGTAATTTACTACGAAAAACCAACGGAAGTATAAACGGAAATCCCTTCTATAAAACACTTGGTCAGAAAATAATAAACTCAACAAAATCCACGGTTGAACTATCAGATGGAAAAATCATTAGCAAATCGGACATTGCCATCCCAAAGTCTAAATCTTCTACAACCCGTTCATTCAAAGGAAATATCTCTTTTCCCTCTTTTTTTAACATTGATTTACAAGTAGGTCCAAGAAAGACCAACAAATCGAAGCCCCAACAGACGCGGAAACCAGGCCCTAAGACAGGACGACATACAGAGTGTCTCACCCCGGTCACCACCAGATCTAGAGGAATAAAACAACCAACTAAACTCAACAAATCGAAACGAAACCGAAATAAAGCCTTGTCTTCGAACACAGGATATTTAGCAGGTGATGAATCCATGTTCATTCCGTCGGATACGTCAGACATTAGTGATTGGGAATGGATTGCGGGAGGTTTTCCATGCAGAGAAGTGATAAGAAAACGCTTCATTTCGGATAACCACATTTTTAACGAAGAACCTATACCATCATTAGATCCTCAAACATATCAAACTAATGTAAAATCTGAGATTTTAGACGAACAACTTCAATCTACAGATACAGCGGAATGCCCAATTAGTATAAAACCAGCACCCCAAACTACCTCACACCCACCTGGCGAACCTTCTACTGCTGCGACAACGTAGGGCCCAAACAATCCTTTGGATTCAACAAAAGAACCGGAGGGAGAAAATCCGGTCCAATTTCCAGTCTTTGAGATAGAAGACTCCTCTGACGAAATTACGATTACTGGGGAAAGGCATCCAAAGGAAATCACTATCAACGGTAATGATTTTAATTTAAGATGTTCGAGTCGAAATGTTGGACCCCACAATTCTATGGTAAACGAGTTTACATAGATATTATAGACGAGATCGAAAATCAACCAGGCTCCGCAAATAATCCAATATCTCTGGACGAGGGCGACAGCTCGGGCTCCTTCACACAAACCATCAGAGAGAATCCCTCGGATAACCAGGCTCACATTTGCGACATTCAACCGGAGGACCGTGAACCGGGCCCAGCGTGCTCCCCATCTTCTGATCAAATCTCCATTGCCTCCACTGACGAGTCCCTGAGAGATGCGGTGAATAGTTTCGACAACTACATAGACTAAGACAGCGAAATTTTTAACGCTGAGCTAGAAAAATTCACGGAAGGGGACAGTTAAACTAAATCAAAAACTTGAAAACTCGCATTTAGACAGTGATAGTCTTACTAGTGTTTCGTTTCAGCGCAGTTAGAGTTTACTTATTTTGTAACCATGAATTAACATCCGCCGGAATTAGGAATTATATAATTCTTTCTAATCAGTCATTCCTTCGGAGCACTAAAATTTCATTTGTTATATCGTGCAGTATTTATTTTCAATCCTTGTTGGACTCCTCGAGGGGGAGAGAAAGGGTTATATAAAATGTTACGTATTATGGCACATAGTACTTTAATTTTTTTTCCAACTAAGGGGAATGTTGCGAATCATACCATTCTTCTTATTTCGTTAAATTAGTCTTCAAGTTTTTTAACTGGTTAATTTAGATTAGACCTTGTTATTTTCATTCTCTCCGACGGAGAGAATGATCTCTCACTTTTTAATGTTTTAATTTAGAGATTAATTCACTTTTTAAACATATCTTATTTGTAACTAAGTAGAATTATCCGTAACAAAGAAACATTTTATCAGCCCTTTCCCTCGTTACGTTACAATGAACGTTTTTGATCTTAAATCATATTTTAATATTTATTTCATTTCTTAGGTACAATGCCCTTGAACTTGTTCATCTACGGCCGATTCATCTCAGATGACCCCAGCTTCACAGCCGGAAACATCCCGTACGGGACACTCATCCAGGGTCTGGTGGCTATTGCACTGCCAGTCTGTCTCGGAATGGTCCTGATAGCCAAAGCGAGGAAGATGACTCTGGCTGTTAAGAAGTACGCCAAGCCAGTTGTGCTGTTGCTACTGCTAGTCTACATATCAATTGGTCAGTTCCCGTGATGAACAAAAATGCGTGTCATCATGTTTTATTCCTGGAAAAATGATTATCATGAATTTTTTATCATAAATTCTTTTAATATAAGAGTGCTTGTCATACGATTTTCATACATGGAAAAAGGCGTAACATACAACTTCCCCTTTTCAAGTACCTCCCCTTTGATTCTCGCTAAAACATGCTTTCCTAATTGCTTCTTCAGAAATAATTTTGATTTTCGAAAGTTAAATCAGATTATGTCACTAAAATAAAAGTGAACACAGTTTTGATCATTTTTTCTTTCAAGCGAATTGCGGTGTCAAAAAACTGAAAAAGTTAGAAAATTTATTAAGATAATCTTACAAGAAAATGGGAAGCTGGAAGAGAACCGAGTTTTAAGCGTAACTTATAAAGCATGAAACAATCATAAAACATGACCTTACAGGGGCAGATTTAGGGTGGGGGTGGGGGTTGGGTTGCACAATTTTACAAAATCCAATTTCGGCCGACCGACCCTAAATCTTTTCACTAGGCTTTTTAAACTGTTTTTTCAAAGGGTGATTTTGACCTGTTTTTTTCCACAATTTGCTTTCGGTGCACCAAAGTTGGTCAAAATAGTGTGTTTATTGTGTTTTTGTTCCAGTTTTAGTAACGAAAGTAACGGAACATTTGGGCTGTGGCATATTTCGTCCCATAACAGATCACGTCCCATTTTAATTTTCATAGATTGCGTCCCACTTCAAGGCCTACGCAGATTTCGTCCCATAAATTTCGATATGGGACGAAATCTGTATGGGAGGAAATGTGCTAATTAAATAAAGAGGACAAAATCAGTAGAAGGGCGAAATTCGTGCCAATCGAACATTTCTGCTCGGGGTGGGTTTTTTCTTCAGAAAATTTTCGTTTTTTTAACTAGCCATTTTTACGGAATATTTTTTTATCATTCAAAAAGTATTGTTGTCCTGAGCTTAAATCTGAAAAGATATTTTACCTGTGATTAATTATTGTAAAGTTATGTGGGTTCAAAGATTGCGATTTTGGTCAATTTGGGACAATTAATGCGCGATATATTTCGCGCTATTAATTAAGAGGTCAACCAAGCGGAGATTTAATCCGCCCTATTAATCGTTCCAAATTGGTTGAAGAAAACTAATTTGCCATAATTGATTTGTTACTAGGAGCGCAATTTATCACGTTACACTTTATATGGCGTGTGGGGGGATCATTTACACAAAAAGTCTTTGTTTTCATTTTATTTCTTTTATTTCATCAATATTAATTTTTTTGGTGTTACTACTGCTCCATAGACCTTAAAAGGCAGTCGGAACATTCAGGGCTTTGCCTTAAAACGAGCAGACTTGTTCGGTTTTGATGCCGAAAAAAAACGCAAGTTTTTTGTCAAAACTTTTCCAAAAAGTACCCAATAAGAGGCAAAAGATAGAGAAAACCGGCGCTTTAAGAAAGCTCGGACCTTCTTTTTCGGTCAACCAAACTTTTCAAGCTTTCTTGAAGCGTCGCAGAAGGTCCCCAAAGTTTACCAAAATTTTTTGACACCACCTCTGGTATGGATGGCGGTAAAACCCCCCAAGCTTGTCTTATATCCCAACGGAAAGGGTCAAATCTTTGAATGCGCCTCATTTCGGAACATAATGCACTTAATTCGGAATTATTTAGCCGATAAGTGTCTGACACTCGTTCGGAATTAGGAAGCTGCTATTTATTGCCACACATGTGCTACACACATAACTGACCCCCTTTATATTATCAAACATATGGATATTAGCACCAGATTGCAATTAACGTTACGACCAGTTTAAAGACAATTATGCCACTCATTTAAAGTCAAATTTGTCTTATTTTCATTTTCACAGCCGTTTGATCGTAAAGTTATGGCCGCTTGATCGTAAATTTAAATTCCATGTTCGCTGCTTGGAAATGAAATTATTGGAAGTGAAAGCGTTGGGAGAGGAGGGTTTGAGGGCGTTTAATTTTTTGATAACGGCTTTCGAGGTCCTTTGTTATTTCTAAGTAAACTTTTCTCAGTAACAGCAATCAGTATTTATACCACGGGCGGATCTAGGATTTTCTCGGTGGGGGGACGGGTTTCTAAAAATTGTTTAAAAATTACGTCCAAATTTTGTGTAGGTTGATCATCTTGATGTTTCTTGCTCTCCCAAAGCACTGAAAAAGACCCTGTTTCGGCCACGTTTTCTGCGCCGCAGGCAAAGTTTTGAAAAAAAAACTAATCAAAAAAGGCGTTTTTGTGGAAAAAATTGACCAAAAAGTTGGGTTTATTTTTGGCGGAAGCTTCCCCTCAAAATTAGTATAAATTGGCGCCAAAGGCATCTTTAAAAAAATTTACGGTCCGTCAGCCAAAATGGATATGGACAGCTTGTTCTTTGACCGCTTTTGTTTCTTTAAAGAATATATTAGCAACTTAAGAAAAACAACAAGACTGCTAGTATACCAAGGTAAAGCCTTGAATGTTACGACTGCACTCAAGGCCAAATATTAAGTTTTTTCGATTGAAAAAATGACAAAAAAAAATAAGATAAAGAATTTTTTTTTTCATTTTTCTTCATTTTATCTTCCCACACGCTACATAAATTACTAAGGGTGTTTAGCGCCTCGTATTGTGATATTAGGATTAAATTGCTGGCCTCAATTCAATTTGGATCTCATTATTTCACTTCTTACGCGTGTTATAAAAACGCACTCTATCGAACTTTAATCATCCCAAATTGGCCAATTTAGCAATTTTCAAACGCCCGTAACATTATGGAAAATGATCACAATGAAAAACCTTTTTAAACTTGAACTTCAAATAAATATATCTGTTATAATGGTATAAAACTCCATGAAAAAAGATCGTCAAAAAGCTTAGTTAACAAGTTGAAAACTGTCTGAAAAAAAACGCACCAAGCATAAATACTCCTCACTTTCTTCGAAAATTGGATCAAAAACAGTACTACATGCTAACAAGACTGCTCGTATATGAAAGCAATTCCTCGAATATTCCGATTGCACTCAAAACCCTTTGAACAAATTTTTTTCTGCTTGAATAATTGACAAAAAAATTGTGAAAAAAAAAACTTTTGTTCATTTTCTTCATTTTATCCCCAACATGCTATAAAATAGTAAAGGTGTGTTTAACGCCTCGTTTTGTGCTAAAAGAAATAAATTGCTGGCCACAATTCAATTTGGAACGGATGCATTTGCTTCCTGCGCGTGTTATTAGTACGCAATATATCGCACTTAAATTATCTGAAACTAGCCAAACTTTACGCAAAACATTCACAGGTGAAATATCTTTTACTTTTGAGATTAAAGTAACAATATCTCTCAGATGGTATAAAAAAATGCAGACAAAAAACGCTTTGTTAAATAGTCGAAAATTGAGTGAATAAAAAAACCAGACCAAGCATAGGTTTTAAAACAAGACGCTGGTTTGCAGATCAGAGAAACAATTTACATTACCGTTCGAACAAACAAATTTTTAATCACTCAATTAAACAAAATCCCACGTTTGATAATCATAATCTTTGTTAAAAAAAACTACAGGGTGTTTCAAATAAACTGTAATGTTATAAAAGCTTCTCATTTCATAACTGTTGATCAGTTCGACTTCAAATTCGGTGATATTATGTAGAACAGGCGGAGATTTGATAAAACTCAAAAACTGTGTTGATGAATTGAACTCGATAGTAAATACCCGCGATTTTCCAACTATCTCACGCTTCCACGCAACAAAAAATTTTTTAAACTACAGTGCTGATTTAAATTATCCGGACAAAACTAACATAACTTGAATTTTCAAACGCGTTTTTCTCAAATTGGGTTAACATTAGACAAAAAGTGAAGAGAACAAAAGTTGCTTAGAATTTCACCAGAATTAATATGGTGTCATTTTTTCTCCGAAATTCTCAACAAAAATTTTACCCCAAAAATGGGTCAATTTGGCTTTTTTCAATTAATCAAGAATTACGCTGAAACTACTTTGTTAATTGATACGAAAAGTATATCACAGGAAGCCGCTTACACAGCTCAATAAAGTTTAAGAAGGGTTAAATCTCCAAAAACCAGTATAAGAGAAAAAATTTGATTTTTACTATATAAAACCCAGAATCTCTGTTAAAAAATAAATTTTAAACAATTTGCGCAAATTTTTGGAGATTTAACCCTTCTTAACCTTCAAATCTCCGCCACTTATCTATCTTGTGCATAAAAAATTGTGTATTTATCTCTTCTCAAAAAAAAGTTATAGCGTTTTATAAAATTACAGTTTATTTGAAACACCCGTATTTAAAGCTTCGTAAACCAATCAAAAGCAAAATCGATTTCTTTCACCGAAAATGACCGAAAGTTCTGCCAACCGTCTGCTCGACAAACATAACTATAATTTGATATTGACCACAAAAATTGATGTCTTCGAACGTTTTTTTTGTGTGTTCAAATAAAGACGTGCAGCAAGGGTATTACTGAAAAACTAACTGAAAACACGCATTTTCTTCTGGATTCCGCAAAGTTTGTTGCTTGAGCTAGCATTTGAATTGCACCTTGTTTTAGTCTTTGCTGCTTAAGCAGTTTTTTTTCTGGAGTCGACAATCGAAAAAAAATCGCACATGTTTTAAATCGCACTATGTTTTACCAATTTCTTTTGATTCGATAATTGCATGAAAAGTTTCAGACAAACAGTCTTGTTGCGGATTCTGTAGCCGTTTTTTTCCCAGCCTTGTCGCGGAATCCGAACAGATCCGCACTGATAAGAAATGCCCCTTTTTTTGAAACCATACTTATTTTTATATGAATCGGTACTTTTTAATTACACCGGGTTGTCTGTACTTTTTTCTGTTCGGTTTTGTTGATCTGATGGCCGGAACTTTTCTAGATAAAAGTTAATACCATCAAGCAGGGGCTTATTTAGGGGGGCAATCGCCCCTTTTCAACAATTCCGACCCAAAGGGTCCCCTTGCGTACTTTTTGTGATATACAGTTTTGGCTGCCCGATATCAAAAAGTTTACCAAAGAGGCCTTTGGCGCCTATAAGTATTAGTTTTGAGGGGGCAGTGTGAGCCAAAAACGCAATTTTTTCGCCAAGTTACCAAAAAAACCAAAAAACTCCTTTTTGGCCCGTTTTTTTTACAGAAATAATAAACCTATTTTTTTCCAGAAAGTTTGATCAAAGGACGGTCTTTATAGTGATTTGGGAGAGCGCAGAGAATTAATTTGGTCGACCTAAAAAATTTCGACAAAATTTTTGATTTTATTTCTGCCTCGTTTCGGTTCTGAGGTAGATCGGTTTAGGGTAGCTGATTGATTGACAACATTTCACTTCATACGTAAATTAACCGTAATTATCGGAAATTACAAGTCAAGAAAGAATATCGAACTGTCATAAACTTCGGTATTTAAAAGCAGAATTCAAAGTCATAAAATACGCAAAATGAAAACATTAATAAATCAATTTTGTAAACAGCGCCTGAGCAATTTGTGAACTTTGTTTCGATCTTTCAGTTTTCGACTTTTTTCACACAATGTTCTTCGTTCACAAGAAAATACATTAGTTACGACCTTGGTTTTTCCTCGCTAAGAATTCTAGCGAGAACAGATTTTTTTGAAAAGAACTTTGCAACTATGATGAGAAGATGCAATTTTTAACCATATACTCATTGATATTTCAGCGCTGTACAAGAGCTCCTTTGCGTTCAAACTTTTCTCACTGCGGGACTATCTAGGAGGTTGTCTGCTGCCTCTGGGGGGATTTGTTCTTGGCGGTGTTGCTTCTTTGATTCTGCAACTGCGCTGCTCACAGATTAAAACTATATCACTCGAAGTTGGTAAGTTAATTCTACAATCAAATAGTAGTGAGAGTATATATGAGTGACATACATATTATTTATCTTTTGGGTTTAGACAAATCGGTTTATTTGTACATCCGATTAGTTGGTACCACTTAATTTCTGCAAGCAAAACGAACAAGTTTGCTTATGGAAGGAACATTGCTGCCTAGAGAACTGCAGGTTGATGAAAGTCAAGAAGTGGTCACGACCACGGGCGGATCTAGGATTTTCTCGAGGGGGGCGGAACTGCAACCAAATTTTGAAACTTTTGTCGACCTTCTTTTTAGAACGACCCATTTGATTTTTCGAGCTCTCCCAAAGCACTAAAAAGTCCTTTTTTTGTCCAACTATTCTTCGTCATGGCAAAATTTTGAAAAAACAGGCCAAAAAAGGCGTTTTTAGGCACTTTTTGGAAAATTATGACCAAAAAATTGCGTTTTTTCGGCACGTGCTCCTCTCAAAGTTAATTAATATTGGCGCCGAAGGCTCCGTCACTAACAATGGTATTTCAAAATTGTTCTAAAAATAGTACTAAAAATAGAACTAAAAATAGTACTAAAAAAGGGGACCCTTTGGGTTGGCAGGGGGTCAAATCCCTGAGAGAGGGTGTCCCCCCTAAATCCGCCCCTGGTCACGACTATGATATTCAACTTTAAGAATGAATTTTTATCGGCTAAAATGCAATAATCTTGTACCCTGCATTATTCCATACGCGACTAGAATAAAACTCGACTAGCATAAATGTTGGAAACTGCCAATTGTGTGCAAATGTAAGTGGGAATTGAACCCGATTATTGTTATAATAAATAAACATGAATTGCTCCCAAGTAGGGGCGGATTAAGAAGGGCGGGGGCGGATTTCCTGTCGACCCAAATGGTTCCACCTTTGCTTGAGATATCCATTTTGGCGAAGGACCCTAAAAACTTTCTAAGGCGCCTAAAGTGTCTATATGTACTAATTTTAAGGGGGGAGCCTTTTGTGGCCTGTTTTTTAAATTTTTGCCTGCGGCGCGAAGTTTTTACCAAAACAGGGTGTTTTTAGTGCTTTGGGAAAGCTCGTAAATTCACTTTGCTCGACCTAAAAAAAGGTCGACAAAAAAAAAACAAAATCTTCGAAAGTTTTTTGAAAACCCCCCCTCGAGAAAATCCTAGATCCGCCCCTCCCAAGGGAGATTATTATACAAATTGATGTAAAAACATGGTTATTAATCATTATCCTTTCTTGTCGGCATAAGACCATATTATCCAACCTTTTTTCAGGCGTCTCAAAAAAGCGGACAGAGAAAAAAAAGGCGAAAATATCGGTTTTTTTTCCAGGTATGCAGAATTCGATGATTGTAGTTACGATGACCAATTTTGTGTTCGATCCTCCACAGTCGAATCTGAACTCGCTAATGCCCATAAGCATAGCCATAATGACCATGCTAGTGTCCATACCTCTCTTCATAGTCCACTTACTGGCTAAGAAGTACATTGCTAAATACAGAGACGTGTGTGACGAGAATAAAAGTGAACAGCTGAGACAGCGACAGAAGTTCGAAGGACTCGGAGGCACAATTAGACGAAGGTAAATTACAATAAATCAAAAAAAATCAGACCTGGCTGATATATTACAATAGGTGGAAGCTTCGAATTAAAAAGCTGGATCACGACTTTTTTATTCTTCTAAAGTTATTTTAAATTTATATCCGAGCCAACAAAAAAACTATCCTGCTAAATGATCCGTAAAAGTTGAATTTTGAATACTGTATTTAAAAGAAACTATCTTAGAATCATAGCTGCACTTCTCTAATAGCTCACGGAATTACGACCTATCGTAATATTGCTCCGAGACCGGGTCACTTTTACCATATTTGTTATCTTAAAATTCCAGTGTTGGCCATCCTGCAAATATTTCAAAGAACTTCTAATAAGTCTGTAAGAAACTTCACTACAAATTTTTTCTTAATTTTCCTATTTCTTTACCCTAATTTTGTAAAGCAGTTGCAATAATCAATGTTTACTTTTCAGTTCAGTGAGTTATGAAAAAAAAATTGTGAACAGAGGTTATAACAATTTTTGTGCCCTTTGTGATGGCCATTTGTGAAAGAAACGAAATCTTTGATTTCTAGAGAATTACAAGAAATTAAAATAGCAATCTGACAATTTTGAACAAACTTTGAAAAATGATCAATAATTTTCAAGCGATATTGAGACTTCAATTCTGTCTGAAAAACTAGGTTTTTGCTTGCAAATATTTCCTGAAATATGTCAAATTGCTTTTTTCATTTGATTTTGTCTGATTCAACTTTTTACTACTGATTTCAGAGAGTTGTTACAAAGTTCCTTGCAAAGATCCAAAGACCTATTTCAGACCGTTTTGCTGGCGAAACCTATTTTTTTTTTAAAAAAATGTATGTCTGAATTTCACCTACAATTTCACATTTGAATGCAAAAATTGCTGAAAATTAGCTAAATAATAGCACATTGATTTCCTAATTTAATTCTCTGTTTGAAATTTTTCTCTACTTGTTACAAATACTTCGCTATCTATTACAGATTCAGCAGTGTGAGTGTGAGTAGTCGTGGTCATCCGAATACAAAAGGAGGGGTGACTGGAGTGGCTGTTGATCCGACCATGGACACAATTCCAGACGAGGAAGAGGACGAGTTCACGAGGAAGAACGACCAAGAAAAAGTAACCGTCGATGTGAATGAAAAAAACCAAACCCATTTGTAAATTATTCTATAATTATATGACCTGGAAATATTAGTAGAGAACAAATAGATTCGAAATTCAACGCTTTATGGAAGTTTTCTTAAAACTATTTCAGTCAAGACTGGTAGGAAACATTCTAGGTAGTATCATATTGAAGCCACTTTAGTTTTGATTCGGAGTCCAAATTTAAAAATTCCAAAAAAGTTGTCTGTCTAAAAACTTTTTCTGACTTTTTTCGTTTATCAGACTGAACAGTTAACAGATTTAATTCTTTATTTAATTCTGCAATTTTCGATTTGTTTCATTTTAATCATTTTTATTGTTAAAAGGAAGGGAAACTCCTCTATCGAGCAGCAAAAGTGTAAAAGTCTCGAAAAACGTGATCGACTTCTTATTTCGAAAATGAAAATTAACTATCAGATTTCCCAGCGAAATAAAAGTTTTACCTATTGATACAGTTTTCTCAAAGTGGGTTAATTTTAACATGAAAGTGTCCACCATACTTGCAGAGCACCCGGGTTGACAAAAAATGCTAGTCATAGAATTGTCATATTTGGAAAAATGCTAGGCGTACACTTTCCATACATTTCCACAAATAAGAAAAGTGCATGAAAGGTCTGATTAGTATTTTTTCATATATGGAAATTGTATGACTAACATTTTTTCATATATGGCAATTGTAAAAATAGAACTATTTCATTAATTAACTCCAGCAAATTAAGACAAAAACTACATCGATTGCCATCCCATAAGACGATCAGTCCCTGAACAGAGAAGAGAACCAAAATTTGTTGTTCCGGCTACTCTCGAAGCATTCTAAGTAATTACGAACTTTTTCCAGCCAATTTTGGCTACTTCAAAGAGAACTTGCGGCATCTAAGTGCGGTACGGTTTTAAACCTACTAGTCGTGATTGTAAATCTAATTTAAAAAAAAAACAGTTTCAGTGTCAACGAACAGCTGATCTGAATAGTTTTGATTTATTTTTTGGAATAAACTAGACAAAAATTGCTAAGACTGACTTCATCAAATTAATACACAACTACCTTTACTTTACTACACAACTAGCATATGTTTCATAATAGTAGGTTTTAAGCCAAAACAGTCTCTCTTTGCGAAACAATTGCAGAAAGAAAAACTTTTGAAACTAGAAAAAAGAAATTAAATAAGCAAATTGTCTGAATTCGAGCAAATAAAGCAAGCGAGTAGGCTTACAAGCTACATTATGCCTAATTTAAGATTTGAATAATAATAATAATTCTTATGATTCTTATGATTTTTAATTATAAGCAAATAAAACTAATTTTGGGTTTTTTTAGCTTCCTTGGCAAAAAAATTTGAAAAAGTTTTGTTATTTTTTTGTTTTTCTAGTAACCTTACTGCAAAAAATTTTGTCCATTTTGCCTTTATTGCTATGACTGTCTAATATGCCTAAAATTTTTTTTTATCTAAAAATGCCTGAAAATATATAAAAATGCCTGAAAATCTGCTGCAAAAACGAATTGTTACTAAATGAGTTTTTCAATTAGAGGGAATTGCTTTACATAATTGCGCTTAGAACGTTGATAAAGAAAAAGACAATTCGAGAGAAAATGTATACTTTTACTTTTCGTACCGCGGGAGCCCTTAGATTTGCAAAATTCAAAATCGCTGACTCTTGCTATCTGTAGCTCTGAGTACAAAAATTCGCTGAAATTTTCAAATCAAAAAAGTTATAATCAAGAAATTTTGTAGAGATTTTGATGATTTTCATTACCATAATAAATCCATGTAAAATCCATGTAAATCCATATATCTAAATGCGCAATCTAATATCAATTTCATACAGTATATTATCTGTATAAAACTCGATTTCAATCGCAAGTTTGTCACTGCGGGTAGTTATGTTATGATTTGCTGCGTTCAGTAAATGTTTGGAATACGTAGCCTAGATTGAAAGATGTTTTCATTCCCGGGTTGACCAAAAATGCTTATCATACAATTCTCATAAATGGGAAATATCTTGTCATACATTTCTATACAATTCCATACGTACAAAAAATTTTATGAAAACTCTATAAAAAATTGTATGACTAAAAATTTGTCATTTATGAAAACTGTATGACGCACAATTTTTGGAAACTTTTTTTTCACAATTGAGGCACAAATTACATCACAGCCCATTTAATAAGCAGTGCAACCTGTGAACAGAGAAAAAACCGTTTTTTCGAAGTTGCAACCTCAGTTTCTTAATTTTTTGCAGTAAACCTTCTCAACTCTTTAGATAGCAGCAAGGTCCTAGCCATAATCTTAAGGCGGAGTACTGGAGAGGGGGTTACATCAATATTTAAAAAAAAAACCTGCATATCTGGGAGAAATCTCCCCAACATCTTGAATACACTACATCTGACATCTATAAAGAACATTATGATAAATGAGTAAGTGAAAGCGCTGAATGTGCTAAACGCCTTGATATGTTTCTTTAGTTTTTGGAAAGCAATTCGGATTCTCGTTTAAATTTCAATTTACAGATATTAGGAAATACCCACTTTTGTTTTTCTATTAATCAGGCCTGGTCTTACATGAAACATTTAAATGATGCATCTGATCTTGTCATATCTGGGCAGGATTTGAGCATGCTGGACTCTGACATGAGCATGACTAACTTAGACATGCCTATAACTGACCCAGAAATGACTATTCCGGATTCACATATTAGCATACCTGGGTTTATTACACAAAAAAAACACTTGACACGTTGCAAAAAATTGTTCCTCTGTTCAAGTTACCATTATTGACGTTTTTTGTGAAAGTGTTGAGCAAGAAAAACACTCTGGGCTAATTTAAATTGGCCTCACAAAGAGTGGTTTGGATGCACAGCCAGAAAACATTTTTGCTTGATTCTAGTAATAACCAGTTTTAAATCTAATTAACAATTGCCACTCCCTTTTTAAGAAAGGGGGTACAATTGTCAAGTAGATTAAAATAACGCATTTTCGACCAATCAGATTGCAGCAAAATTAGAATTCTCAAAACAAAGCGCTAGCGCTAACTTAATGCATTTATTGAATTTTGCAATTATATTAACAGTTTTGGGACAATTGCAGTCACAAGTTAAAACCAGCTCGTAAGAGTTTAAAAATTGTCCTAAAGTGTCTTATTTCTATTATTTTGATGCCGAACTTGACCAAAAAAAAAACAAAACGTTTTGTCACACAAAACAATGAAATCAAACAAAAAGTGTATCCACAGCCGCGAAAAATTTTCGCTTGGTTCTTGGTAGTGCCCAATTTCGAATCAAGTTTAGCCTTAAACGGGAACCAGTTCACAATTTCTAGAGGTTCATAATGCGCTAAGAGCTCCCGAGTCATACGCTACCACGTTTGAATATTATTGTCTGGAACTTCGAATGATTTTATCTGAGGCAAGGGTCTAGCAATATAGCATAACAAGGCGATTGGATCACCTTGAATAGTAATTTTTCCGCTGAAATAACGTTTTGTTGTTCCAACTCCAATGCTTGAAAACAAGAAAATTTAAGCCAAATTTTACAAAAATTTGTTGCTGATATTTTTTCTTTTTGGCTAATTAAACAGGTCCATCTTGCAAATCTGCTCTGAGATGGAATTGTGGGTTTTCTGCATCAATCTAGCGTGAAGATCTCCCTTTTCAATCAATCGTGTCTTCAGTTTGTCTGTTTAACACTTTGCATTTCTTAGTTTCATCGTGAATCAACAAGTCCAGCTCGTTACTCTACAATCGTTATAAAATATTTTTTTCTGTATCAGTTTGTGTGAATATCTCCATTTTCTATCAAGTCTTTTGTATGATTTCACTCCTCTTGTGAATCTTCGTCAATTTGGGTTTCACCAAATCCAGAGGAGCTAGGTTAACTCGTCTTTTTCGAGCTTCGCTCCATAATATTCATGGCATGGGCCCGTCTTTCTTTATTGTTTTGACTTCCGAAGAAAACGGAACATTTATTTGAGCCTCAATTGATGCTAACAATCAACTTTCTACCATTTTTTCTGCAAATTTTTTTTCAGTATTTTTTAGCCAGGAATTGCTCATCTACTAGATTTTTTTCTGTATCCAGAGCTTGGCTGTAACAGCTTCTTGCTCAAATTAAAATCATAGAATTGCACTGAAGTGCTTTGAAAAAATTTGAAAAACGATATTGAAAAAAAAACTAAGTGCTAGGGATCTCTGATCAAATCAATTCAGTTTGCGGGAAACCATTACAAATTTAAAACAAGGATAGCCGGTTGCTGTGCTGTTAGCACCAAATGTTCTGACCATATTATTTAAAAAATTACATACAAAATATGCCAAGGGCTTTAATATGATATATACTCGACATGATTCGATGACTATTTTTGGTAATTTTTTCAGTTGAAAAACAAAATAAATCTGCCAGCTCACCTTATTCGCTCAAAATTAGACCAAAAAGTGAAAACTTCAAACCGTTTTTGATCGACACTGAAAATCGTTCGAATCACGACTAAGCGTAAAAAAAGACGTATGAAAAAACAGAATATTGTTGAGCTCTTGAAATGAAGTTCTCTTCTTTAGTTTTAATCTTATAATTTTCGCCTCAGCAAACTGTCACCAAAATTTAACAAACATCTCGTTGAATTAACTGGAGAGACCAATCCAAACTCAACCTACTGTAAAAATAATGTAAACGTTACAATTTTTTTCAAATGTGAAATTTTAAGGCTTTGAATTTAAAAGCTGACAAAAATGCCGACAGGATTTTATTAGTGAACAAAAACGAAAATCAAAAATTTCACTAGTATCTCATGCACCAGAACAGCATCAAACTAACTTTGCAAAAAGAAACCGTTCAGAACGTGCCTATAATCGGTCATTGGTCATTATAAGGTTGATATTTTTTGTTTTTTCACTGGCAAGATTACTTAATGTTTTTTGAGAAACAAATCACATGGCTAATTTGAATAAATTGGCGTTCATTACGTTCAATGCATTTTTGGGCAGAAAAGGCACAAAGACAAGATAAACTGACAACAAATAAGCTGTGATATTTGGTGATAGTTCTAGCTTTTGCATCAAATTGCTCTGACAAAGCCTTCTGGCCCT